TACTTTCTTTCTAGTATAAAGGAAAAATACAAAGTTAGTAGTATGTTAACACTGGATCATTTAAAATATTTTGATTCAAATTACTAATGTTTACATATAGGACTCATGGTAAAAGGTAGATTTCAAACACAAACATTTTAATTTTTAAAGTGAATGTGTATTCTATATTATGTTAAAAAGTTTGTGAATGTCATTATTAGTAAGTAAAATCTGTCACTTGGTTAGATTATCAGCTAAGGTTACCTTCCAAATATAAGCAAGAGAAAGTACAAACACCTGAAGTCAGTCAGTATATATTTGTTTTACAAAAGGTTGCAAGAAATACGGTAACTAATTATAAAAAAATAGAATGCCTCCTATCTTCTTAGCTCAATTAATCAAATCACAACTAAAAGCAAATGGGCCTGAATATTATCGTTAATTACATGTTGTTTAGTGAGGAGTAGCAAGAAAGTTAAATACTTAAAGCTTCTAAAGTGAATGATTATTACTTACTTTGGATAGCAATGTGACATGGAAAAAAACTAAATGAACAAATGTGACTTTTAGTACTGGCTCCTTACTTGCTAAAAAGAAGACCACAGGTTCAAACAAGTTAATAATTGGGATATCATACGGCCAAGTTTTCTCATTTCAAACCGAGGAAACAGAGAGCCCAAAGGGAAATGTGACTCACTTCCATTAGAGAGATACTTCCTGGTAGGCTGGCCACAGTTCAATGTCCGATCATTATGCAACCCCACACTTGACACAGCCATCCATGCCTTAAGGATCTAAGACATGTGTTATGGGAAACCTTGAACTCCACAAACATCAGATTAAAGAGGGAAGTTAGCTTACAAGGGAAGAGCCTACAGAAGTTCATTCAATTCTGAAGCTCTAAAGATGACTTTTATGATTGCTGTAGTAAAATTCTACTTTGAGGATTCAGGTTCTTATTAACTGGCAGATTTCTCACTCTTTTTAGCAGAGCATAAACCATTTATTTGTGGAGCGAATGAGTATCTTGAACAAACTAGGTACTGTTATTGTTAATGGTGACTTGAAGTGGTCAGGCAAATATACTAGATTACCTAGTCCTCAGTAATCTGATTAATGCCAGCTGCTACTTTAATGTCAAACAGAGCCATAAACACTATATTCAGTGTGGGACTGAAGATCACTCATACATGGGCAGAGGCAAGCCAGGACTAGACCTCAAGTCAGCTGAGCTCTCGTTTTCACCAGCCGACAGTGACATAAAATAAGAACAAAGCATTTGGTGCAACTTTCAGAAGGCTATGTTCTCACACTGTAAGGATCTGGCTGTATTCTTCAGTGGAATCCATGTAATATGAAAGCTTTTGTGGACATTTACTCTGATTCCATGGGAAAGGCAACAAAACCACTTAAAATTATAAAAGGTAAATAGCAGATATTTACTTGCTATAGGATTATTAGAAAAATGAAGTTATTGTACATAACAGGCTGTAATGGTAGAAAACAAACGGTTTAGAATTGATATATAGTACTTTCTTGATATTAAATAATTTAAAATAATTCTGAGTAACAATGATTATTACTATTTTTGTATTGTGCTCATGTCTTTAAAAACACACATAAAGGCTCCTGTAGATTAGCATTTGAAAACTGAGATAGCCACTTTAGATTAAGCCAAATAAGTATGTGTATAAAGTCCATAGTAACTTGGTATCACTAAAACTGGGACATAAATAATTATGCTTCACAAAAGGGATTAGAAATAATTTTCCACAAGCCTTTCCACAGATTAATTTTTAATAACTTCTTTCTCCAAATAATGGAAAATACTGGCATTTCATAGTATTATTTACTCAACCAATAATTTCTGTTTACAATCCCAAACAAGTATTAGTTTACCTATTACATTGATATATTCTATATGTTTCAAAACTTTTATATTTAAAATATCAGAAATAAATACAAATTTATCTTTCAAACATTGATCCCTTCCTTAAAACTTTTTCTGACATGATATAATTATACTGAAATGAGTATTTTGGGGTACATATATTTTTCAGTGGTAGGAAGTAAGTTTATATATACATTGTATCATCACTTAAATTATGATCATCAAATATTCAAGTCCCTGAATTTATTACAAAATACTGTTTTAGGCATATTCATTAGTAAGCTATTAATCCCTTGAAATCAATAATGAGTACAAATAATGACAGGCACATCATCTTCTGAAGTTAGGATGAACGAAAGGAATTCACAAATTAGGATTACATTCAGAATAAATGGTCAGGTAGATGACAGGAAACAAAGCTTCCTAAGAACCTCTTGAAAAGCCTTTGCTTCTTTAGAAGACTACAGTCATTTTTAGAAAGACAATCAGTAAGAAGCTAGGTCTAAGTACATACAACATATATATATACATAAATAAAAATATAAATTTTACATAATTTTTTTTCTCTTCAAATATAAAGCCTAATCTCACCTACATGTCAGAAAACAGGATTTTTAATGACGAGCCCTCTTACTATTAAACATGGAGGTAGGAATTTATATGCTGACTTCCTTCCCTGGTTGTTTACATCATGATCATACAAGCTGGGATTTCTGCACCGCTATTCTACACATGCACAAGGGGGATACAGAAGTCCTCAGAACTACTTATCTTTTAAGGTTTCCTTGGGAGGCAGGATTTCATAAATGATTTCTACATGACTTTGCTGCATACTTCTCAAAGGCATTCCAGAAAATATCTATGCTAACCATACTTCTCTGATGATGGAATAAAATAGAGGTGGCTTCCCCAACAGGACTTTCTTTGAGCTCAAATTCGAGTTTAATATACAATCTTCATGAAAAACTGTTAAATTAGAAAAAAATCTCAAAATGGCTTTACATTTCCTAGAAGCCATAGGAAAAGATGCTAGTGTTAACAAATTAAAATATTAAAAAAATTTATAAAAACTCCAAAAACAAAATAAAAAAGACAACAAAATAGAAAAAAATACTTGCAGTAGTTTTTAAGGTGATATAAAAAAGCTTTCATAGATTGTAAAAACAACAAGAAATCTGAACCAGTGGCTGCAATAAAAGCTGAAATAACATGGCTGATAAGTATGGCATTTTCAGTCTTACTCTTATAACCCAATAAAGACCATTTAGAACAAGGTATAGCTTCTTATCTACCAGATTGGTAAGCATGGAAAACCTGGATGAAATGCTGTGCTACTGAAGGTGTAAGGAAATAGGTACACTCAAATTACAGTAAAAATACAAGTCTATATAACCTTCTCGGAGGGCAATTTGACAATATCTCAAGGTAAAAATATGCCCATATTTTGTCACAGCAATTCTACTACAAAAACTGGATCCCACAGCTAACATCGTACCTATGTAAAACCAGCCTAAATGCCCATTAGTAGGGCATTTAGTAGGTCTCAGACATATCAAGTGAAAAGATACACATATATGATAGAATCCTGTCAGTGCAGAAGAAAAAACACAATGTGCATGCACATTTATATATAATGCATATGCTTCTTTATCCTGAAAGACACTTAAACTGGTTGATAGGACCAGGTGTGGGTAAAGGAGGAGCTGGAGACTTTCACTTACATTTCATGTTTTACTGTCTAGTTTTAATTTTTACCTCTTTGTATAGACTACTTTAAAGTCAAATTTCATTTTACTAAAAAGAATGAAGTCTTTACAGTATGTCAGAAACCCTTCTGTGGAAAAACCTTGAGGGGGACAGCTGAAATATCATGGACCTGGTATGTCTTTCTGATTTAATCCAAATGACATTTAAAGGTAATTCAAAAGAACTTTGCATATTTTCCATTGGGATGCCAAAATCAAAGCAGCAGGGCAGAAGATTCATGCTCTAATCCATACCACTACTGCATTTCTAAGGAAAAATATATTTGAACAGATATTCTGATACTGCATTTTAACATAACTTATGGGTATATGTTGGGGTAGGCCTGGCAGGTAAAAAAAATCTTTCATCAAAAAAAAATCAATAGTTATGGCTGAGGATATAGCTCAGCGGTACAGCACATGCTTAGTATGCATAAGGCCCTAGGTTTGGAAACGAAAAAAAAAAAAAATCAATAAACAGTTGAGAATGCCAACTAATTCTCTTAAAATTAAATAACAAAGTCTTATAAAGCCTAATATTTTCAGAGGGAAGATATATCCATTTGCAAAACAGTTCTGTTGATATAGTGTATGTAACTTCACACATTAGAGCCTGAAAACCAAGGTAAACTGAAGTGAGCAGTGTAAATTTTCAGATAAAAACATGGGCTTCTCCCCCTCCCCCACTATCATTCTGTTCCAGGTACAGGTGGACAGAAGATTTGCTTCCTTTCACTTACTCACCTGTCAGGCTGTCTGGCCGCGGAGGAACCATCCTCTCATAAACGTCATACTGCTGCTGTCCAAATTGCTCCATGTCATGAACAGTCCTTTGCAGTGATGGTCCCAGATGCTGTGGTACGGCGGTCATCCCTGAGCGTTTGGGGGATGACGACCCCACCTGGCCTTGGGACGGGGAAGCTACTCGAGTCTGTACATCCGTCAGAGTCAGTGGGGACCCCACTCTGGTGGTGGTTTGGTATTGAGGGGTTGGTCCGTTGGGATTGGAGGTCTGTCGGGAGGTGACTGACCCAATCCGCCGCACAGCTATTGGGGAGGCAGGTCTCTGTGAGTATGGAGAGGCTGCCCGCTGAGCAGGTAATGTGGTAGAGGAGTATGCACTGGGGTTCAGAGGTCTGGAATCGGTCACTGATGGAGAGCCAAATCCACTACCCAGAGAAGTTCTCAGTGACCCCCTTGAAGGAGACACGCCTGTGCTGATAACATAAGAAGGAGACTGTGCTCTAGATGGAACTGAACTAACTCTTCTCATGGCCCGATTGGCTACTGATGGCTGATGAGAGGGGGGAGAAAAGAGAATGGGTTTATCCAGGGTTTTGTGACCATTGTCAATACAGAAAAAAAAAAAAAAAATGCACCAAAGCTCACTACAGAATGTGAACTACTATTTATTTTAGGCATCCAAGATTCTTTTCTGCATTATGCTTTAGAGCCAGCTCTTAATTTTTTCTCATTGTGCTTTTCTTCTACTTTTATTTTGGTGGTGGTGGTGGTGGTGGTGGGGTTAATCTGAATACTACAAATCACCCAGTACAATGAGGTCTGATAACATTTAATATTCTCTTTTCATGTCTTAACATTTTTTACCCTTTCCTATGCATTTTTCACACCACATAAAACGTTTTGTTCCAAGTATTACAAATAACTCATGAGTGAAGGGTCACCGGAGCAACACACTTACTTTATTCCCTGTGAGTCAAAGTTTGGCCAAGGTAATGCATTTTTGTAAAATAAAAAGAATTAAAAATATATCATATGAATAAATACTGGTCTAAATGTAGCTAAAGGGATATCTACATGTGGCTAGTCATTGCAGTTGACCTTATTAACAAAAGGAACATGTTCTTTCAATGTGGAGCAACTGAACAATATCCCCTGGATCCAGTAATCTCCCTGGGAATTTATTTCAAGGAACAGCTTGGTTGCACAGGTGCCCTAGTCAAATTTATTTGTTCCTTTATAAAGCTGAATACTTTCTTTTTACCTTCTCCTCTATGAGATCTTAGCTTTAGCTGGTAGATTTAAAGATATGCAATAAAGGCATCTCAAAATCTACTCTAGTAGGAGGGATGCTCTAAGTCTCTGTTGGATTCTTGGTCTAGCCAGCTGGAAAAAAACAAGAATAGAAAATAAACATCTCTGTCATGGATTATTCTATTATGAATCTAGAGACTCCTCTAAACACAATAGGTAATCAGATACCTTTCTTGATGCTGTGCGAAACTGAAGAAGAATGGTAGTTGAACTGAAGAAGAGGCTGAGGGGAACAGGAATGGGAAAAAGGAAAGCAGGCTGAGAAATGAAAATAAACATTAGGGTTCCTAATGAGAGGCCCAGGACTAGGTTGCTCTGTTAACTCTAGAGTGACTGCTAAACACCAGTTGCCATCAAGCCCCACCCACTTTTAGTTGTGGTGATAAAGAAGCAGGGATAAGATCAGGACTCTGTGCACCCTTAGCTGTCTTAAGAGGATGTGTGCTTTGACTCCAGGTGTCACAGGCAACTGGGCTGGCTGAAACATCTGGTTGGAGACCTCAAGTGGGCTCAAGTTCAACAATTTTGGGATGGTAATAGCTGTGGAGAGGAGATGTGGGGAGGGAAGAAGAGGTGAATAAACAAGGCAATGAGACAGGGTTTAAAATTTGTAAGTAGTTGGAAAGTTAAAACATGTGCTTGGGTGCTAATAGTGCTAACACTATACTGTCAAATGGAATGACACTTGGCCCAGATGGATACATGTCCCAACTACATGTAAATTAAGTCATAGAGACCCACTTACAACAGGCACAAAATTAACTAAATTAGGTTTAAAAAAAGGAACATGATCACTACTGTAGAAAAAATTTTCTATAGTTAAGGCAATTATTGTGCGAAAGTGTGACTTCAGACCTACTGACATAGAAATCCACCTAAGGAGATGAACTCCTATAGGCATTTAGTCCAAACCTTCTCAAACTTTTCCACCAAAGCACCTCTAAAATGAAAAGAGTATATGTATAAACTGAGAGTGGCGAGTATAGCCTCTAGTACTTGCTTTGAGTAAAAGCTATCTTACTTTAGCATAAAAGTCATGTACCTTAAATTTTTCACTAATCAATAAGCAAAAGTGCCATCACCGTACTACATTTGTCATTTGGCATTGGGAACCCTGGCCCACTGCTCTGTGCACCTGAACAGCTTCCTGCGCTGCAATATGAGGAACAAAGTTGTCTACCTAACTTCTCTGATCATTTTGTTATTTTTAGCTCTAAAAAGACCTTTGGGATATGTGGACAGAGTTATGCTTAGTGGTTATTGCTGCACAGAAATCCTACTACTATTGTTAATCCTGATATATGCTGGTGGAATGATGTGAATAAAGTAGCAATGAGGAAGGAGCTAGGGATTTTTTAGAAATATATACATACAATATTATTTTTTGCTTACCAAGTTCTAGAGCCCTAACTTAACAGAATGGATGTGATTCTAAAAAATAACTTTCTGTAAGTAAGATCTATATTCTTTAAAAAAAAAAAAACCTTTAAATTATTATTGTTGTACTGAGGGTACATTGTGACATTTACAGAAGTGCTTATGATATATCTTAAGTTAAATTCACCCCCTCCATCATTCTCCTTTATAAACCCTCATTTTTTCATTTTCATACAAGAGTACATAATATTTTGGGAAGTTCTATATTCTAGTAAAAGAAAAGAATTCCAGTGATGAAGATAAAACTTGGGTTAGAAAGGGCAAAATCACCTTCTATGGAGGTAAGGAAACAGTGTTCTGCCCTTTGGGACTTTCTATAGCATATTCTAGCACCAATATTTTTAGGACAGCATTCTGTTCAGTTCTCTTACACTACCTCTGGACTGCTGATGTCAAACCTGTTTTTTTCCAGAAGAATTACTCTACTATGTCTACGAATTTTCCTTAACACTAACTCAAATAGTGTAAAATCATTTTGCTACTTTATTCAATCTATAAATTCAAAACTGTAGATATTCACTTTACTTTTAATAAAGAATAAATATCTATAATAAATATTAAACTAGGTGGGTATTTCTTTGTAAGGATCTTGATGTGCTTGGCTTACCTGAACTAGTGTTTGTCCTTCAGCTCTTGAATTCCTCAGCAAATGGTTACTGGTTGATCCTGTGAATGAGTGCTGTTGCCTACCATCTGCCTTGGTCACACCCTGGTTGTTGTGAAAGCTCCCTGCTTCCTGGAACCCACTGTCAGAGTAAGAGTTCATTTGCGTTGAGCTTCTTGAGTTACCCAATGATCCTGCAGGAATAAAACCAGCAGGATTATCTGCATTATACACTTCTGAAGCTCATTTTCAAAACAGAAATACCGAAGCAAATCCAGAACTTAAAATATAATACAACAGACCCTCACTTTCATGGAGAGATGTCTGTTCTGGTGAATAGAGTGTCCCTTGTTCTGGCTCTGTCCTGATGAGATAGTTGTTGGGATGGACAGCGTCAGAAACTCTAGGTTTGTTTACACCAGTATTTGGCACCTCTGTAAGAAGATAAGTTTAATCAGCTAAAACAATATAATATAAGAATTTGTTTTAAAAAGGTTCAGATACTTGTCAGTAGCAATCATAATTTCTGTTAATACAAGGCTATATTTTCACCTTAACCAACACAGTTCTTTGCTATATGAATGTGTTCTACATACTAGTTTATTAGTATACTTTGTTGAATTTCGTAAGTGCTATTTGTCCTGATTATAAGTCCCAAATTTAACTTATGATTTATATTAAAACAAAATCTGAAAAGGGATCTAGTATACCCTTGGAAAACTCATCTGCCAGGCAACTTCCTCCAGAAGTAAGAGACAGAATGAGAACAATTATTTAAAAAAAATTATTTTTTAAATAATTTAAAAAAATTATTTTAAAAAAAAAATCTTCCATATTCCAGACTTTTAAAATACAAACTTACATAGTGCTCACGATATTGAGCTTAGTGATGAAAACTCTGAAGGAAAAACACACTTTTTCCCCCATGTTTCAAATCACTTACAATCAAAGGAAAGCTTCAGAGTTTTCAAAGTTGCAACCAACAGAAACTTTTAACTTCTTACCCATCAGCTTATCTATTCTTTGTCTTTTCAAGATAACATAGACAAATCTAACCTGTCTCTTCCATTATCTTGTTTGATTTTTAACTGTACCTCTTGCCATCTTGAGCTTGGGGTAAACAAAAACCACCACCACCAAAAACCCAAGTCAATTCATCTTCTTCCCCCATTACAATGTTTATATGCTATAAATATAGATGATATAGATTATTATGCCTTTTTCTAATACCCTAGTATCTAAAAATATATTTCTCCAGGTTCTGATTATCCTCACTACAAGTCTTTCCTCAGATTTAACCCTTATGGCGCTAATAAGCTTCTTTTCAGGAATGCTGTTTCACTCTCACTTCAAGGATTTTAAACTAATTCTGTATCACATTCTGAGTTTAACACACAGCCCTAAGGATTTCAATGTTCTCATTCATCTCCCTGACTTTCCTTCTTTATTTTGCTGGGCTCTACTATGTATCAGGCTCTAGGAATAAACTATAAGAAAAGGGGTATACATGTGACTGCCTGTCTGACAGGAGGGGAAATGAAGCATAGGAGAAACATTCTAGAGGAATTAACTTCTAAACAGTATTTGTTTGCCACAAGACAGCTTTTCCTTTCTGTATAGTACTTATTATATTAGAATACAAGCTCGAGGATGGCAAATTTTGTCTGGCTTGTTTGCTATTACATCCATAGTACCTAGGATGGAACATGCTTAGTACATGCTCAGCAAAATATTTCTTAAGCAAGCACATTTGCAGTGACAATGGCAGCTTCCCTTCATTGGGTCCTGAGTTATACTTCATACTGTGCTGTACTGTTACTAATTGTGTCTACTGAAGTTTCACTATGTAAAGCAAAGTAAAATTTTGAGTTATTGCTGATCGAGTGAACATGAGATTTAAAGGAGAACTGGGAAATCCCACTGAATCTTGATGCCAGATTCAATCTAAGGTTTTGTTTTCTAGCCTCTAGAAAGATATGCTGACATTCTTAGTATAGCTTTGTAACAATCTGTCTCAGGATACAGAATTTGACAATATACTTGGAGGTGGTAGAATTTTGTGACAGATCTGAATTCTCAAGTCTGGAATTTTAATAAAGATTTCAGATTGTATGTGGTTTCTCTGGTACATGCTGAAATATGATCTGAGTCACTGCCAGCCTGGTAATGCTGGCAGTGAGCTGCTTCATTTCTAAGTCTTCTGAGTTTCTAGAGTTCTAAATATCCTCATACAGAAATCCTTCAAAGAGTTTTGTTAAGGATTAGGTAAAATGAGTGTGCTAGGCTCAAAGTGTTACATGGAGCTGGAATGGCTGGAGTGGCAACAGAGGAGCTGTGAGGAGTGGGTCTATGCAACAGTTCACCGTGTTCCACTAGGAATGGAACTCTAGAAAAGCAAGAGGAAATAGCAAGAAATTATAGACTTCACAAACCTGGCAAAATGCCCTCTTTAAGAGAAAAAGATGTTTAAACAGTTCTTAGTTTCAGTTTTAATGCAAGATAAAAACAAGCAGCAATACATCAAGGCGTTTGACTTTGTAACAGCAGGTGGCATCTAGTGTCAGCATCTGAAAGCTACCACTACGGAAATCAAGTCACTGGAAATGTGCAAATGCTGTCCTTAAACAAACAAACTAAACTACTATTACGAGCTAATATTTAAATATAAAATGACAAAGATACACCCTAAAGAACTGTACCTGAGTAACTTTGTCTTTCCAACCAATGGAACATTTCCTAGAAACCAAGTTATAAACAATTATGCTCACTTAAACTCTTCCTTATAAGAATCTATTTAAAATAAATAAACTTACAGCAAGCACAAATTATGAGATGTGTGATTCCACACTAGTCACCCTAATAAAACTTAACAGAATTAGTACTTTGAGAACTACAAAAAACAAAACAAACAAAATTACCCTAAAAATAATATAGCCATGTACCTGTTAAACGTTAACAACTGACTGTTTTATTTTTAAAAGCAATGTCTTAGGAACTAGCATATAGAAAAGAACATTGAGATAGTAAGTAGAACACAAAAATACTATGTTCCTATAGGATTTAATGTGAAGTGACTGGGTTTAGACATCAGAATAGCTTTTGTACCTTATTTTTAAGTAAGTGTACAAGTTAGAGTTGTAAAACAAGATATATTTTTAATAGCCTATTTTCTACTATAATTAATGTCTTTAATCGTTTTTCTATTTCTTTACAGGATCTGCAGCCATTTTTCTATTTCTATAGCGAAGACCAATAATAACAAATATCTGCAGAGATAAAAAGATTGTTAAATCTCTTCTGAACCACTAAAAGAAATTTAAATGGTTTTCAAAATAGTTTTGCTATTATTTTGTTTCTCTGAAAACTTGCAACTCCCAAATTACATATATGTATATACAAATGTACGTACATGCAGCTACCATTTCTCAGATAAAGAGAAGACCCATTTCAAACTACCATGTAAAGTATTCCTGATTGTAGAATTGTAAGGGTCACATTTATCAATTATGTGTTACTTAGGCAATTGTACTCTAAGATGAATGTCTTTTAAACATGTCTTATATGGAATGGAAGAAGACACTAGCCAAATTCACCAGAGAAACCATAGAGGCATATAGTATGGGATCATTTCAACTGTAACTAAATAGTTGGCAGATTGTGATTTAGTTTGATCTGGACAAGAAATCAAGAGACATTCTAATAAGTAAAAGTGGCAAAAAGCATGTGAATGCTACTTCTTTAGTCTGTGTATTAAGAACATGTTACTTTAAAAACATAACAGACATGTTTTCTGAGACACTAAAAATAAACTATAGGACATTTTCAAACAATTAGCATTTTCCAAAAAAAAAAAGTACATCTGAAAATAGAGAACTTGAACACACTTCAAGGTAGAATGAAATTCCATCTGTTTCTAAGACGGGGAGATTATTGAAATCATGGTTCCTCTTGCCTGTTACATTTCATCTCAATGTTTCAATTTTTTAAAAAGATGATGAGACCACCCTGAGAGTGGGAGAAAATATTTGCTAGCTATACTTCAGACAAAGGACTGATAACGGGAATATACAGAGGAGCTTAAACTCCTCAAAAATCAATGAACCAATAAAGAATTGGGCAACTGCACTAAATAGAACTTTTTCTAAGGAAGAAATCCAAATGGCAAAAAAATACATGATAAAATGCTCACCATCCCTGGCCATAAAGGAAATGCAAATCAAAACCACACTAAGATTCTTCCTCACCCCTGTTAGAATGGCTATCATCAAGAACACCAACAACAAATGCTGGGAAGGATGAGAGGAAAAAGGAACCCTCATACACTGTTGATGGGAATGTAAGCTAGTACATGATGAAAATCTGGTATATAATATACCCCAAAAAACTCATAATAGAAGATGAAATGCAACATGAATTACTTTATATTTACTGTGATATACATCCTCAAATATACAAGTGTGAATAAAATGTGCTTAGTAAAAAGTTATCACTAAAGACTTTGAAGTTATTAAATTGCTGTTTTATTAATATATGTGTCTTGTTGCTTATATTGTATGAAATGAGGAAGGTCTGTACTGTGTAAAGTCACCATGGAAACAGGAATCTAGAGATCAGTAAGGAGAATTTTAGTATATACAATCCTGTAACTAGTCTTTCACAGTCCAGCACATTGTAACCTCATGCTGGGTTCTCGGTGTTTGTGCCTGTTCTGAGTTGCTATGTTACTGAGACTTGCTCTCACATAAAGATAGGGTTTTGGCAGGACTCTTAGGATGGTAACAGCACATAATGTTAAAGCAGAAGATACTGTCTTTGACAGTTTCTTCCAATTCTCTGGCCTGAGGGTTAAGGTTAGACTTTCATATCCAGAGAAGCAATACTTCATGAAAACCTCCTGCTTAACCATGAGGCTAACTTTCTATAGAATCACAGGCTTAGGAGGAAGTCTACTTTCCACAGAGGTGCAGAAATATTCTAGTGCCTCTTATGCTTAAGAAGTGAAGCTTTAGAACAAACTGTGGAAGAGGATCTGGGAGATGGCACCAAAAAGAAACTTCTGTGATATATAAGATGTATTTCTATAGCATGTTAATGAGGTATCAGAGGAAATGAGGTTATCTGGAAATTCTGTTTTAGAGTGAAAATGTTAATAAGGTGATGGAAACATGGAAAAACAAAAAGGTTCTTTGGTGCATAGGAGAAAATGGATGTTTACTGATTTAGAATATTATAGACACTTGCACTTTGTTGACTCAAATAACAATTACTATATACATATCTTATCCTTCTTTTAAAAGCTGGATTTCAGTAGAAGTAAAGATGAGAAGGGGCAGAAACCACTTTTTTTTTTTTTTTTGAAACTATTGTTAGTCTGCTTCTTGTGAGTATATCTAGGTTCTTGGATGTTATAAATATTCGTCATATCTTTTAAATA